TGCATTTTCTTGTAGCTTATCTCGAGGGCTTTCCAAAACACTATAATAAAGTATTTTTTTATTAAGAACTTTTGGAATTATTAGGCTTGAAGGTTCTAGTATTTTGACATAAAATACAAAATATCTTGTAAAACATTAAGTTTTCGGTAATGTTACCTTAATACTTTTATGCACAGAATAATGAGACGAATCAATTGGTATGAAAAACAGACATAGTTGCTTTTAAGAAAAAGTATGCAGATGCATGTTGCAAATTACATATTTTTTCTTAAAGGAACTATGTCTTTTTTTCATACCAATTGATTCGTCTCATTATTCTGTGCATAAAAGTATTAAGGTAACATTACCAAAAACTTAATGTTTTACAAGATATTTTGTAATTTATGTCAAAATACTAGAACTTTCAAGCTTTATAATTCCAAAAGTTCTTAATAAAAATTTACTTTTCTTAATAAAAAAGTACTTTATTAAGTGTTTTGAAAAGCTCTCGAGATTAGCTATAAGAATATGCATTGAAAAATAGGAGTTTCCATTTAAGAAATTGAAAATGACCTTCATGTGATCTTCAAGCAACTATTCAAGGTCAAACTAATGACACCATCTTATGTGCCCCTCAAAACCGTACAACTTTTGTTTGAAACATTTTTGCTGAAAATGCTTCGTTGAAGAATTATCGAGGTGCGTTGTTTAAAATGGATACCCTGTATATACGTTTTTATATAAAAAATTTTTTACCGAATAAAAACTTTAGTAGCATCGGTAATAGTAGCAATATTAGCGGTAGCATCCATAACAGTATGCAGCGATATTCATATTCTGTGTGATACGAGTCTAGTATTATTATCAACTGCGCTATTATTATTAACTGCGACAATTATTATTATTGTTATTAATCACAACAATAATAATAATTGTCGCAGTTAATAATAATAGCGCTGTTTTGTATAACTGTAAGCAATCAATGACATTTTATATTGCGGTACTAAATCGCACAAGTTGTATTTACAACACTTCTTGGAAGCTAGCCGATAATTTACGATACTTTCTAAATGTAAAAATTTAGTGCGAGAAAAGCGCGATTAAAATTTCTCGGATTTTGAGTCATCAAGGTCCCAAGATTTCTTGGATTTCAAATATTTTTGAAGCAAATCAGAGGAATTGAGATTACGACATACCAAGTCACACAATTTTAGCCTGCGTTTGTTTATTCCCAATAGCTCCCAGTGTAAATAAATAAACGCAGGCTTAATGAAATTAAGTCATTGTTTTTCAAAAATTGATTTAGCATCCTTTTTTATTGCTTTCATATTTTTCCTAAAAATTCTTTTGCAAGACAACGAATTTTTTGTAACAAGTCTAATTGAGTTTAATAGAATTTATAAATTAATTTGAGCTCAGAATTATCAAATAATTTTTCTTGAGATGCTTTAGCATAATATCTTAAGACCTTCGATTCCATATGATTTCCTCAACAGATAAACAAATGAATAGAAAACAAGACGCGATGCGCACAAATGTCCAATGTAACTAAATGTCTGTGTGTGTGTGTGTGTATGTGTGTGTGTGTGTGTGTGTGTGTGTGTGTACGTGTATGTGTGTGAGTGAGTACATCCATGTACTGAATCCATGTACTGAATGTACATATGCTGGATGTATTATAGCTTTTAAAAAAAAAACACAGATACTCGATTCTATACTTGGCAGTATTGTGAACAATCGCCCGACAGGCGTTTAATTGTTTCTCCTTATTATACTTGTTCTGCTTTTTCCGTCACAATGCGGTTCTTAAATCTCGAAAAAGACATCTCAACAAGACGAGAATGACGTAGACGGTGAACGTCCTTGGCAGTGATCGTAGAATTGCATGTTCGTTTTTTATGTCTTTTCTTATGCATTATTTCGATCTTTTTTGATTCGAAATGTTAAATATTATCTCATGTAACTGTGGCTTTTAACAATTTTTTTTGCAACTAAACAGCATGTATTATTACAAGCGTTGCTAACTTTAAAAAAAGTAAAGCAGTAAGATTAGGTACACGTGTTATCATGTAAAATACGACGTAATTTTGACTTCCTGGATTCTTGGATTGTAAACTTTTTGAATTAATAGACCATTGATTTTTAAACAATTTCATGAAGTTCCAGAATCATTAGTTTTTCAAATTTTTAGATTCTTGAAATTTCAATCAATTTAATAATTTTGTTAACATCAAATTTTACGAAATTCTTGAAATATCAGTTCCTTCAGTTCATAGGTTCTTGCATTGATTGAATTCTTATATGATATTAAACATTATTTTTTACAATTTTATTTTAAAATAGTATATAAATAAGAAATAATTACTTACTTAATCATTAATTTAATCAATTAAAATTCTACTTAAATTTTAATTTATGTAATGTTGAAATATAAATAGAATCAATTTAAGTTTTATTTCAATTTATTTTCAATTTCTTCCTAAAATATCTCTGTTAGTATTTAACACACATCATTGCAATACTATCACAAGTTTTATATATATAATAATATTATATAAATATATATATATATATATTTATATATTAATATTTATATCCGCAGCAGGTCTCCAAAGTAAAGAGCCTCTAGTCGATAGACTAATGTGTATATATATATATATATGTATATATTACATTTATACTTATATATTACATGAATATATGGTGCTTGCTTTTTCAGATTCAACTAGCGAGACATTTACTGGAGAATAAAATTACGTATAAATGGTTAGCATATATAATAAATCTCTTTATTTCAGATTTAGAAAATAAAAATGGGAAGAATTAAAAAAATTCGGTGATTGTAACTCAAAAGATTTCATCATCTAAAGAAATTATTGAGAATCTGATAATCTTGTCTTGAAATCCAACAATTTAAAAATTCAACTATTTTGTGAATTAAAAAATGTAGAGTCTAAAAATTCAAAGATTTAGAAATCCAAGAATTCTTCGTCACCATCCTTTAGTTTTAACGATTAGAGGCTAAATATTTTTATATGTTAGCATATTCTGTTATTGAATTCTGAGAACTATAAGGATCTTTCCCATAAACTTTTACTTTAACTCTCATCAATCTTCTTCTTCATAATTACTTTTTAAAATGTTCTATTAACTATATCCATCCTTAATAATCTACTTTCGCAGTCTCTCTATTTCTTCTTGGTTTGTCAACCCCTCTCCCCCTCCACTCTTTCTTTTCTCTCTGTTACTCTTTTCCATTTTACTTTTATTTTTATCATTCTAATAATAACACGGCAAACTCGTGCAATTTCGGTTACGTTCTTTTTTATAGCAAGTTCGTTTTTCATTTCATTAAAAGATTAAAACGGACGGTTAAATTTCAAGTATCTCTTTTTTATTTTTTTTTTGTTTCTGTTTGTTGGTGAGCCGATGTCCGCTGCTGAAGGCACAAGGCTTTGCACTAGAACTCGGTCACCTATCTTAGCTGACTCATCTACGATCTATTACCAGCTATGTTCTGGAAATTTGTTTAAATCTCGAGCGGGAGCATGTAACACGCTGTATTAATTAACATCTCATTATCTTAATATTTTTTATAAAAGTAATTTAAACAAATATTTTAAATATTTATATGTATCATGACTAAAAATATTCAAAATTAAAGAAACTTATTTTTAAGAGCATTATACAAATTTGATAATGTTTTAATGATGATAATAAATAAATAAGAGCACTTTTGATATGACCAATTATCTTAAAAATGCAATCGCTCGAGAATTAATTCAATTCAACAAGTTTCATCGCTTTTGTTCTACACATTACTGCTTTTTTAAATCATCGATTGATCGCCACGTCATTTCCCCTCGTTCAACCTCGATATTTCTGTCAATTTAAAACGAAAGGTGATCGATTCGTCTTAAGCATATCATGCATCTCATTCGTTATTCCTTAACTATCTTATAAAATTTAATCTTCGCGATCATTTAACGGATGGAGGAAGCCGACTTTAAATTGCTGTTTTGCTCGATCGAAAATTGTGGCACAAATAATAGGTAACAATGTTCGAGCAATTTCAAAATTTCAAAATTTTTTAGATTTCTATTTCCAGATTTTTTATTTCTTTTGGAAATCATTATCTTTGCAATTTAATTTTTTAAAAATAATAATACGTAGAATAGATAATAATTGCAAATTTATAACAGTTGCAATATATAGTGAATTTATTACAATATTATTCGTTGTAGAATTTTCGATTCAGTAAACGAATTCAAAGTTGGTTTACTCTATTAACTTAAAATATATATTTTTATTCTTAATAAAAAAAATATGTATTTTTCCATATTTCTATTTGAAAACAGTTCAATCGGAGAGTTCTATTCCAGTTGCTCCAAAAAAGACATCAGTTATATTTATTACGAATATTATTATATTTCCTTGCACACCTTTGCAGGACGTCCCGTACATTTCCTTTCTATTCATTATTAAAAACGCACATTTTTTTTTGTAAAAATTTCTACTATAACGAGGTGTATATATATATATATATAAACCGAAGAGACACAATTAGCTTACAATGTAAATGTTCTATTTTGCTTCCTGTATCATTATTTATGAACATCATATTTCTATATTCCGTAAGAAAATAATACATTTAAAAAAATTCCTGTTTCATGAAATTTAAATAACATGTTATATATACACAGTATAGATCTAAAAAAAAATATATTTCCTTATATATATGTCTCTCGCGAAAATAATATCATCCCTTTATCCCTATCTCCTGTTTAGAGACGCCCTGCACATTTTTATGTGGTTTGTATTAATAAAAATATTAATACACAGTTTCAAGACGCGCCATCCTGCTGCGGTGTAGATCCATCTTTCTTATTTTCGCTCTAGTCTCTCCTTCTCTCTCCCTCTCCCTCCTTTTCTCTTTTTCACACATGCGCGCGCGCGCGCGCGCCCACACACGCACACACACACACACACACACACACACACACAC